CCCAACCCATTCTATGATTCTATGATTTATATTCACCTTACCTTTGCAACCAAATAGTCTTGAAGTAAATATGTCTCTTACACAGGACATATACATAAATTCTGCTTTCTGTCCTAAGCTAACATAGCTCATACACATTCTTATTTCTTCTTAACTTCTTACCATTGCATGTTGCCAGCACAAAAGAATATCATAACTGTGCTATAGACTGTTATTTCTTAGGCTGCTGCTGTACAAATTTGAAACAAGAAGTACAACAGGAAATTACTTCAAATATGTAGAAAGGTCTGTGGTTAGTCCTCACTGTAGGGTTTTTTTCCTGACACAATGCAAAACACAGAAGCAACTCGCTGGCCTAAGTATTAAGTTCTTATAAGAATTCTTACCAAAGTGTAGAGGAGCTTAATGTTGTTTTCAGTGACACCTTCCATAAGCTACAGTCAAATATTTGCCCAGCGCTCCCAGAAGGGAGACCTCCAGAAAACAACTTGTTTTCACCTCTAAAATGTTAGAAAATAATCTGGTCTCAATATATACGTATATATATAGTTTTGTTTTTAAAAAAACCCTGGTATTCATCTCCAAACCATTAATACAATAATATATATATATATAAAAAAGCATAATTTTGTCTATATATATATATACAAAGTTATAAGCCCTACCTTGGGCTTTGTCTATATATATATATATAAAGTTATAAGCCCTACCTTGGGCTTGAGAACACCTTGTGATGTTGAATCCTACTTAAGTCATGTTAAGGTGTAACACCAGTGTAGGTGTTTATAGGGAATGCAAGTGAAGGAATCAAAGTGCTTCAGTTACTTTTGGATGGCACCAAGCAGGTCTTTCCCCTCCTCACTCAGCTGGTTTGGTGGTTTTCTGGTGGCAAGGTAGGGACTAAAGTCTCTTGTCTCTTTGTGGCTCCTCACTTGGAGACCCTGAGCTGCTATAGTTAAACACCCTGTGACAGCTTTGCCTGGTCTGGTCTTTCATGCTGATGCTTCTTCTCTTACCTCCTGCAATAGTAGGGGTACCAGCTCTTTCCCATGGAAAACACACCTCTTGTGCGGGTGTATAGATGTGCTCTGTTGGGCTCAGAGTTGTCTTGAGTACTGGAATAGTTCCTAAACAATTCTTTCTTTTTCCATTGACACCTGAAATTGAGCCTCGGAACACCACCTTTGGTGAGTCCTTCATTTCTTACAGTCAGCAAGGTCTCTTTCATTGGATCTATGATTCTGTATTAGAATCAGAATGGTTAGGGTTGGAAAGGACCTTAAGATCAACATTAAAATAAAACACCTGAGTCAGAGCTGAAGGGTAGAGGAGGTGGTTGGAAGGATGGAAGCAGTGACAGGTGAAGTAGATAGAATCATAGAGCAGTTTGGGAAGGAAGGACCCTTTGAAGACCAACTAGTCCAACCACCATGGACAGGGACATCTTTGACTAGATCAGGTTGCTCAAAGCCCCATCCAACCTGGCTTTGAACACTGCAGAAAGGATTTGTTGCACTGGCAGGGGAAGGGAGGAAGCTTCCTCTCCTGTTACCTGCATCAGCAGATGACCCAACTAGCACCTAATATCAGGTTTTTAATTGCTGATGCATGATTTCAAGATACCACAATGTAGTTCTCATAAAAAAGGCATTACTGCAAGCAGAAAGGGGACTCTGTTTCAAGCATCTACTTGGACACCATTTTCAGTGGTTTTGACAGTATTTATTTAAACACTGGTGTTTCAGTTAGTGCTCAAGAGCCCCATGCCTACCCCTGCACTAGCTGACAAGAGAATAGAAAGGGAATGCCTGCTTGTCATGGAGTTCACAATGTCCTTCAGATCGAAGGATGACCCTTTAGTGTTTTCCAACCTGGTATTCTAGTCTATGATTCCTAACAGGAGCTAACAGCAAGATTTTCCTCGAAAGGCAGTTTGTGGGGAATTTCCATGACAGAAATTTCCTTTGGGAATGTTGTCACAGTTCTACACCTTCCCATTTTCACTTCCCACTTTTCTACTCCACAGTTTTGTCATGGCACTCTTCACCTCCTCATTTCTTAGCGTGTAGATGAGTGGGTTCAGCATGGGGGCAATGACAGTGTAAAACAGTGCTATGTTCTTGTCCTCCGACAGATTGATGGATGGACGTATGTAGACGAACGTGCATGGCCCAAAGAACAGAATCACCATGGTGATGTGGGACCCACAAGTGGAGAGGGCCTTGTGCCACCCTATCCTTTTCACGGAAACCAGGATGACAACGTAGGACATGACCAGGATGAAGAAACTGCTCAGACTTATCATTCCACTGTTGGCCACAATAACGATGCCCACAGCATAGGTGTCGGAACAGGCCAGTTGTAGTAGGGGGTAGGCATCACAGAAGTAGTGGTCGATTATGTTAGGGCCACAGAAGGGGAGCTGGATAGTTAGGAGAGTCTGCACAATGGAGTGCATGAAGCCTCCTACCCATGAGCCGGTCACCATCCAGCCGCACATCCGCCTGGTCATGAGGGTGGTGTAATGAAGAGGTCTGCAGATGGCAAGGTAGCGATCATAGGCCATCACCGTGAGGATGAAGATCTCTGTGCAGCCAAAGAAATGTACCCCAAACAGTTGGGCTATGCAGCCCATGAAGGAGATGGTTTTATTTCTAACGAGGAAGTCAGCAAGCATTTTGGGAGCTGTGACAGAAGAGTAACAGATATCAACAAAGGACAGGTAGCAGAGGAAGAAATACATGGGGGAGCTCAGACTTTGACTGTTGATTACAGTTATAACAACGAGCAGATTTCCTGCTACAATGATCATATAGAAGAAGAGAAACAGCACGAAACATATCTTCTGCACCCCTGGATCCTCTGAGAGGCCCAGAAGAATGAATTCCTTCACACTGCTTGCATTCTCCATGTCAATCAGTTGGGAAGCAATATGCCTAGGCACAAGGAAATGTAAAGACAAATGATTGTCAGTTTTTCCATTATTAAACATGAATTCCTTATCAGATGTACACACACACACTAAAAAGTGTATAGGGTTGGTATTAAGTTCATGAAGTGGGGTTTTTTTTTGTTGAGTTTTTTCCCTTCACCTGTGTATTTAATTCTCCTTGCTCAAGACTTCAGCCATGCCTATTACTGCACTGAGATGGGTGCACTCTGGGATATGTTCCTCTGTTCTGGTCCTCCAGGACTTATGGCTGATGTGCTAAGGACAAGACTAGAGTGCTCACTAGAGGCTCTACAGATGTTTAAAAGCATGTTTGCCCTCAGCGTAGTCCAAATCCGTAATAACAGTCTTTGTAACAATAGTGCCTTGAAGAAGTATTCCTTGGAATGCTGATTTATTTTATAAGTAAAAATGATCTTTGAATTGTGGTGAAACCTCCTAGGGAGAAAAAAATACAAATCTCTTGTGCATATACATTTCAAAACATGAATATGCAGCTTCATGGGCTGAACTATGACTTCTGGGGAAATTATCTGTAATTGTAAAAACAGCAAACAATATCACACATGAAGATGACCTTTGCAGGTCCTTCCAACCTAAACTATTCTATGATTCTATGACTTACTTTAGTATTTATCTTGCTCTAAATCTCAGCAATGTTTCTTTAAGATAAGGGAAGAATGAAAAGATCTTTTGAGAACTTCTGTTGCAGCATCACATGAATTTTACTTTATACTGATTTGTGATACACGCTGGGGGATATTCTGAAGAGTTAATTCCTGATTAGTAAAACCAGTGTAGCTGGTGGTCAAAGTCTCTCTAGCTCTGTTGAAGACTATAACTATAGCTAAACTAAGATCCTTTTCAGAACCCTTCCTTTTTCCACTGACTAAGAGGAGCCTAAGTAAATCAACATCACCAGGGTAAAGTTAACTTTAGGGAATAATCCTTTTTGCCCTCTGAAGGTAGCTCAGAGCTTTCCATAATGCCATCCTCATTTGTTGTGTAGGTGCTATGGCTGAAATCCTTATTTCTGCATGCTTCTACACCTCTACACTTTCTCTGTGTGAATGTGGGGCTTCTTTGCTTTGGCCTGTTCCAGCTATAGCCCCCAGAGCAGTAAATGTCACTAGAAAAGAAATAATCTACATCTTTAAAAAGACTTAGTCATTAATATTACCAGCTTGCCATTATGCACTCAAGTATCAGAGCTGTTTTGGTCGCAGAAGTCTGGAAATCACTAGATTAAATTCTTTACAGAGTTTAACCAGAAATAGGCATCTCTTAGAAACAGATTATCAGCTGTATGGGATTCAACCTAGTACCCAAACGTTCCCAGACAGCTGCTATTAAAAATCACCGTTGCAAGTCCTGCCCGGTAAAAATACAAGCAGTGAGCAGGGCAGATCCATGGATCAGACCCATGGAATTAGGTCCAACTAATTCAAATTACCTAGCACCTTTTTAAAATGACAGCAAAACGGGAAACTCTCGTGCAGGCAAAAATTGATCAAGAATCCACAGGAAACACTGAAATGGAGAAAAAACAGAATTGCTCTCAAACCCACAAAGTGAAGCCTAGTGAGGAAGTTGAGAAAGTTAGGGACTTTTCCTGTGCTTACAGATGTACTAATGAGTAAAAGATAGTCAAGAAGGGGGGTAAAATTTATCCTTTTCTGATATATCTCCAAGAAAAAAATCATCAATAAGAACAAAGAATGTGATACCGATCTCTACCTGGTCTTACCAAGTTGTGATGCTTTCCATCTCTTTTCACTTTGCACTGGCACAGTTTAGCACAGAAGACAAAAGGACACAATGGGTACATATTTATGGCTATGCAGTAGCCAGTGGAAGAGAAACAGCTGTAATCTGGCTGGCCAGAGCAGAAAGGGAAGCAAACCTCACCAGTTTCAGTGTCACATTTAGGCAATCAGTGGTTCAGACAGGAGTGACCAAGAGATAAACGATCGAAGAAAAGCATATACCTGAATAACAGCAGACGGGAAATTGCTCGGTGAAATAAGGTGTATATTTTTGAAAGGACTGTAAAGATACAACTTATTCACAACAGACACCTTCACTGTGTGTCCCTTATGGTAAGGCCCCTGTCACCATGACCAAATTGCATTTTACAACATAGCATCATAGAATCCCAGAGGGGTTTGTGTTGAAGGGACCTTAAAGCTGATCCAGCTCCAACCCCTGCCACGGGCAGGGACACCTTCCACTAGAGCAGGTTGCTCCAAGCCCCTGTGTCCAACCTGGCCTTGAACACTGCCAGGGATGGGGCAGCCACAGCTTCTCTGGGCACCCTGTGCCAGCGCCTCAGCACCCTCCCAGGGAAGAGCTTCTGCCCAAGAGCTCATCTCAGTCTCCCCTCTGGCAGGTTCAAGCCATTCCCCTTGTCCTGTCCCTCCATCCCTTGTCCAAAGCCCCTCTCCAGGTTTCTTGTAGCCCCTTCATGTATTGGAAAGCTGTAAAATACATTTTACAATATATTTTACAATATATTTCCTTATGTCATGTAGTCACCTGCATCTGAGCCAGTCACATGCACTCTTTTTTCTGCCTTTGCAGGGCAGTTCATGACCAGCCAAAAAAATCTGCTTAAAGATGTGATGAATTACATGCTGGAAGTGCCTATTTCTTTCTGCTGACTCTTAGAGGATAACTAGAATGACTTAATTCAATAGAGGATTGACACTGTGCCTTACCTATAAAAGTATTTTTTCAGGGACAGACCAGAGGTATATGATACAGTGCAATCAACTGCAAAATAAAATAAATACCACATGGATTGCTAACCTTTCCTAAAGGAGGAGAAGTTGCCCTATCTTCTTATTGCCAGCATTATTTCCTAAAATCTCAGGTGTTTAACAGGAAACAAAATGACAAAATAACCTAATCTGGGGCTACTGAACCAGTTCTGTACATGATTCCAGCCACAAAGAGCCATAGAGAGTTGATAACTTCATTGCAAATTTCTTCTTGTATTTTCACATTTGTTCAAGAAGAAGAGAAACAAAGAGGAAATTAATCAGGAGAAGAAGAAAGGACACAAAAAGAAAGGATCCAGAGAACCTGGAAATCCTACCTCCTCTTTGTCTGGAGATCAAACTTTTTTGTGTAAGGGCTGTATGATTTTATCTCCTCAACATCTGCCTTCCTCAGAAGGATTGTGTTAGAGCAAAGTGTCTTGAAAGACCGTAGAACAGGTTCTGAAAAGCTTCCAATGCTTGTTCAAGACGAGCTTTTTGCTATATAATCCCATCTAATTCAGTTTCTTGCTTTCCTGTACCACAAATGTATCTTGGTGTTCTCAGCCTGTGTGAGAACTGTTCTGATGGGCTGTCTGGGTTGTGTGGCCTGATCTCCGTGCACTGAATGATGAATTCACAACCCAGCAGCAGATGGAAGGCTGAGAAGACAACTCTTTAAGTAGCACTTTGTAACACTCTCCAAGGAAATCTCCTACCTCAGGGGCTCTTGGGGCTGGAGGAGAGAGGCAGGGAGGCTTAATGAAGGGAAGGCATGAAAAGAAGGGGCAAAGGAAGAGAGATTATTTCTGGTATAGCTGAGGTAAACGTGTATTAAAGAAATAGCCATCAGTCTGTATTAATGCTATTATCAAGGCATTTCAGGATTTCTCCAGAAGAAATAGCAGTCAATGGATTAGCTGAACATTAAACCACATACGCATGTGATGTGACTTAGTCCAGTCAACCCTTTCCAGAGACCTTCATTAATGGCATTCATGATGCCATGCTTTATGTTTTTCCCAAGTGTAGAGATCCATTAGCTCCACTGTTTTGGCTTGATAGCACAGAATCATGGAATGGTTTTTGTTGGAAGGGACCTTAAAGCTGATCCAGCTCCAACTCCTGCCACAGGCAGGGACACCTTCCACTAGAGCAGGTTACTCCAAGCCCCTGTGTCCAACCTGCCCTTGAACACTGCCAGGGATGGGGCAGCCACAGCTTTGTGACTAATAAAACAGTACTTTTAAATCTTTCCATATTCAAAAAAGAAAACACAGGAAACACAAATCTTCATTTAAAAACATAAAATCAGAGATATTTCTTGTAGTAAAGAGAGAGGCACCATGCCCTGGGGGTAGTAAAGAGTTACCCATCACAGTTAGGCACACTTTTCTCAGTATGCTTAAGTTTTCAGAGACAGAAGATGGCCTGAGTTACCTCTTGATGACCCTTCAAGATCTACTCTGCATGAAATTTCATCACTGGTAACCCAGTGAATAAAGCCTCCTGCAAGAACTTGCACGTTTTAGCAAAGGTTGGCAAATTACAGAATCAGGAAAAAAAATCCTTCTTTTAGAAATGGGGAAACCAAGAGAGGAAGTTGCCTGTTTTATGTCTATGGAAGACAGCTGAGTTGAGTCTTTGTCACTCCAGGCTTTCCTATGGAAAGAAATAGAACTCTCCTGCAATCGATTCACCCGATCTACCTCAGACAGGATTTTAGGATTGGATTAGGTCTGAAATAGACATCTAGATTTTGAATTAAATTACTTAGGGCAGACAAAGGCCACATCCAAAGTGCAATGGCTTGATGTCCATGTGGAAACCAGCAATAAGTGGTGTCCCTCAAGGGTCTGTACTTGGACTAAGACCATTTAGCATCTTCATACTCAGTATAGACAGTGGGATCAAGTGCATCATCAGCAAATCTGCAGATGACACCAAGCTGAGTGGTGTAGCTGATGTGCCTGAGGGAAGCGATGGGATCCAGAGGGACCTGGACAGGCTTGGAGAGTGGGCTCATGAGAACCTCATGAGGTTGAGCAAGACCAAGGTGCAATCCCCCCTATCAGTACAAACTGGGAGGTGAAATGAAAGAAGAAGCTAAAGATGAATCGTCAGGTATCTGGCCTGCAAAGCTAACTTGGTCCAGATCTGCCAGTTTCTGTACCCACTGGCACACGTGGCAGCAATTCAGGTGGGGTCCTACTCATCTCCTTTTGTTTCACTAGCCAAACAGACTAGCAGAAGTGACTTAACACACAAGCCCAAATCAAGAGTTGCTGGTATCTCCTGTTGCAAAACAGTTCCCTATAAGGATGTGCTTACTTCCAGGAAAGGAGAAAGGTCTTGTCTCTGTTTTCACTCATTTCCTTTGGCACGTGGATCTGACACCATGATGGTGGTAGCTCACGCACATGGAGGGACTGTGCATGATGAGAGGTGGTGTGGGTGGATGGTGAATGCTGGCAAGGGGTTGTCTTGATAGAGATACGAGGTGGTGATGAGGTGTGAGTCTGTGCGGACCCTCCTCCAGGAAGAGTTGTGTGAAGCAAGAGGGACTAAGTAGAGTGATAACTTTGCTGGGTGAGGCTGTGGGTTAGATAAGGACACTCTTTGGGTGTGTTAAGATCTGTTTGGAAGGGACAATAGATCCCTGGGGGGAATGAGAAGCTGTGCTGAGGCAAGGTGCAATTTTGCATAGACCGTTCTTGCTTTCTTTGTATTGTGAGGCTGAGGAAGGACGAAGTAGTAAAAAGAAAACACATTTCCAGAGCCACAGTAACAGGTTCTGTACAAAGAGGGAAGTGACTTGTATCTAAGTGACCACACACCCCAAACTAGATATTTCCCCAACAGAGTGATTGGCTGGCTGTCAGATGTCACGCTGTAAAGACCAGAGCTTCTTAAACAGTGTCTAACTCGCCCAGCACTCCAGTATGACACAAGGACTTTATCTGGACCAGAAGTGAAAGAATTCAAGTGAAAATTTCACCCATTTGATCCACACCAGGCAGCTGCTGCAGCTCAGTCACTGAAATTCCAAGGAAACCACAAAAAGGTGAGAAATTCCTAGGTGGTATCTTTGCCATTGCGCTCTGCCTAATGCTTTCTGCTGTGCTTTTGGAGAGATGGTGAGGGGAAAGGAGGAGGGAAAAGAGAAAAAGAGAACAGGAGATCAAACATTTCCTTCTGGTTAGAAATTTGCTGTAGGTAAGAAATTTTCTTGATCATTTTCAAGGTAAATAGAGCTTCATCCTGGAGACTCTTTTCCATGAACAAGTGCTATTGAATTGCTCTAAATACAACTCTGTAATAGAAGATGTCATAATTCAGAAACCTAGATTAGCAAGTTAGGTCTTAGATGGTGACTTAAAATTAGCCAGGAAAATATAACAGCATCACTTTCTGTCCATGGTCTAAAACGTCTTTGTGGTGTCATGGTTGTTCAGCCTGACATCTGTTACAAGAACATGGTACTCAGCAGGCAAACCACAGGAAGGATGTTTCATATCAAGAGAAAGAAAGACCACTTAGACTCCTTAGACTCAGACTGCTGCTGTTTGATGCTAGCTTTCACTCATTAGTAGGCTCAGTGTTTTGAATCTGTCTTGGAGACAAGAAGAAATGAGGGTGTCCACTAGTGGCACCTATTATGTAGGTATGATCAATGGCACAGGGCCATGTCTTTTAACATTAGGAAGTATGCTTGATGATCTTAAGATAGACAGTTAGATCTGACATTCCCTGAATACCCAGTGGAGAGAGACATGCTGCTGGAGGATGGGGTCAACAGCCTTCTGGAGATGACTGCACCAGGGAGGCAGAATAGCTGCTTTACTCAAATAGGGACCGCATCAGAAAGCTGGAGTGGGCTTAGGCAGAGCTTAAGTGACACTCAAATGTCCATGTCCTCTTCAAACCAATTGGGAATTTGTTTCAGATTACAACAATAGCTTGTGGCAGTGAAACAACTGCACCGGGGCTTCTAAAGGCCAGGAGACCACCTAAACACTGGGTCTTCCTTTCTTCTCACAGTACCAAATTCTGATAATCTGCTGCCACCCCAAAAGCAGGTAGTGAGGAAGTGAACAAAGTCAGAAGGCTGTATCTTTTCAATTCGCTTGCTGCAGATGTGCAGGAAAGAGGTAGCCTTGTAGAGATGTTGGTCAGGCAGCGTGCTGCTCTCCTCAGGTAAGGAAAGAGAGGCTGAGTTTGAACTCAGGGATGTTCCTGTTGTGAAACTGCTACAAAAGAGATTCTGTCCATGCTGAAGGAGATGGTGTTTGTTTTCCATAGTCCTAAATTCAATATGTACTAAATTCACTGAATCATAGAATCACAGATTGGTTTGTGTTGAAGGGACCTTAAAGCTCATCCAGTTCCAATCTGCTGACATGGGCAGGGACACCTTCCACTAAACCAGGTTGCTCCAAGCCCTGTGTCCAACCTGGCCTTGAACGCTGCCAGGGATGGAACATTTACCACTTTGATTCCATCTGTCATATTTTGTGTGCTTATGGAAGTCTGTCTCCATCTATACCACAGCATTTTACAAAGAGAGAACAGCCTGCTCATGCTGGTTGGACTGGTCAATGAGTCACATCTTCCCAGCTCTCCCCATTTAGTCTTGTTCCTCTCTTTTTAACTATCTCCTGCTGGCGCTCATGTCACTTTACCTTCCCATGTCAAAACTAATAGATGATGAGGAGAGAGGAAAACAACTACAGTGTTTGACTTCATCAGAGAAAAAAAGGTGTGAAATTTATCTTTCAACCTGTTTATTCAATATTCTCATTCATATCTCAGTATCATACAGGAAGAAGCAGGGTGAACCACTCCAGGGAATGGGATGACATAATTGAGCCATAATTCCAATGTCCTGACCCCAATGGGGGGCATTTTGTCCCACATACAGTTCTTAGAGCTTTTCTCTGAAAATGAAATTATTAAGGGCTGACTCCTCAGATTGAATTACTTGTTGTCTGTACATAGGGCTCAAGAGAACAAACCAACCACACTAAACTACACTCTATTCAACTAGAAATCAATCATCAACATAAAAACCTGATTACTCCCTACCATGTCTTCTGGGCATGGACAAAACTCAATCAGATTTCATGCTGATTCAACTTGTATGCTGTTTGTCTGCAACTTTCACACCCTTTTGACAAGATCTCTCACCAAATCTTAGCAACAGGAACTGAAGACAATTATCCCAGAGTTGTTAACACTGGGTTGGTTCTCTATTTATTCAGATAAGAGGTACTTTTCAGACATGATTCATCTCAGCTGTAGTTGCTTTTTTAAGCTATTTGTTTCCCTGTACGACTACAAAAAGGACCCTCAGGAAATGAGTTTTAAGAAGGGAGAAACACAGTGCAATGTAACTTTTCCTACATGTCATATAGAATCTGGGCTCAGTGCTTTGAATAGTGCCTTAGAGCTCTGTGTTCCGAGTCCAAACATAGCAATCCCTCACTAAAACAAGCTCTGATGACAAAGAGATGAATCAAATCCAGAAACACCGTCAGGGCACCATGAGAGAAGGTCACACTGGAGTTACCACCTCTCCCCTCTCTGCTTACAGGTCTGTCTGAAAACCCTCATGATGAGTACTTCGGCCACGTCAATCTTCCTTCCAACCACAAACAGCCAGGTTCATGGGACTAATCAGACCGGGGCTGTGGGAAAGACAGAGCCATCCTATGCTGTCCTCAAGTTCATGGAGAGCTTCTGCCTCATCAGTGCTGCCTGTGGCATGGTAGGAAATGGTATGGTGCTGTGGTACCTTGGTTTCCGCATCCGGAGAAACCACTTCACAGTCTACATCCTGAACCTGGCCGCTGCCGACTTCGGGTACCTCCTCTGCATTGCCATAGAGACGGTTCAGTACCTGATGCAGTTCAATGTAGGGGTGCAGTTTGGGATATTCCTCTTCCTGGATCTTTTCATGTATGGGACTGGCTTGTACCTCCTGACTGCCATCAGCATCGAGAGGTGCCTGTCTGTGCTTTGTCCCATCTGGTGCCGAAGCCACCGCCCGAAGCACTTGTCTGCCATCATCTCTGGCCTGCTCTGGGGTATCTCCTTGCTGTTGAACACTCTTGGGTATGTTCTGTGTTCTGTGCACCGCTCTGCTGGGACCTGCCAGATCCTGCTCATCACCATTGGAGCCTTGGACTTCATCTTCTGCACGCCCCTAATGCTGCTCTTCAGCCTCACCCTCTTCCTTAGAGTCAAGTGCAGCTCCCAACATCTCCGAACAGGCAGGCTCTTCACTGTCATCATGCTCACAGTCCTCTTCTTCCTCATTTTTGCTGTGCCTCTGAGCGTCCTGATCCTCTTAGACTTCTTGGGCTACAAATTCCTCTACTCCCCAGAGATCGGTTTTGTGCTGTCCTGTGTGAATAGCACCCTCAACCCTGTCATTTACTTCCTGGTGGGGAGCTACAGGGATCGGAGAATTAAGTTTACCCTCAGGCTGGCGTTCCAGAGGGCCTTTGAAGATTCAGCAGATGACAAAGATGAACAGGAAACCCATGACACAATTACTATGTCTTCCTAATCCTGTGCCTAACAGCAACACTGAGCTGGAGCTGAGGGCTGATAGTCTACAGAACTGAAGATGTCTGAGATAACAAGGAAGGTTTATCTCACCTGAGCTTCAGTATCTTCATTGTAGATCTCCAGCCTTCAGCTAGATTTTAAGCTCCATCAATGGTCAGTGAAAATACATAAACACGCGGACCACAGAATTTGCCTGACCTCTGTTAGGACCACATTGAAAGTGTCTATTTCTCCTCAGTGGTCATTAAAGGATTTCAACTTGGTGAGGTGGGATATGTTGGTGTCTGCATTACACCAAAGAAATCCCACACAGAGTATGCAGTTCACTCAATAATCTCTGTCTCTCAGAGTACAACAATATCAAACTCATATACGTCATAAGTCACTTTTTCCTCAGATCTCTGAAGATGAGATGGGAACCAACCCTCCTCCTGTTGAAATCAGCCACAAAATTCCTCATGTAATGTTAAATACCTGTATCTCAGCCACGTATGCAACTTTCTGCTGCTCACAGAGTGCACAGTTCTTTGCTTCCTCATATGCTTATTCCAAATAGCGAAATGATTCATACCCTGGAAGTTCCTTTCTTCTATTAGCAAGGGAATTTTCCATACCATGGAGCTGTGATGCAGTAGGAAAGGGCCCCAACCCCTAACAACATGCCTTAAAACTTTATGCATTGAGTTGCATTCTCCCATTTCTTCTTTTCCAAAGAAATACAGGGCTGGAGTTGAGTATTACTTTACCTTCTTCAAGCCCAGGACAGAATGTCTTCATCTAACTACAGCATGCATTGGGTTGTTGTTCCTCCCTTTAAGAAGGACTGATAAGAATCCATGGCTTCTAACATCACCTCTACTGATAGACTTAAAATCAAGGATAGGGGACAAAATAGGAAAGAGAAGAAAGGCAAATGAATACCACAATTTGCAACAAATTATTCTCTAGACCCTTGAGATGCGAGATGTGACTATTTGAAGCATGGTACTATCAGACAACGTGACATTTGCACTTTTAACCAGAATATATAGGAAAAGGCACACAGGTCATTTTCTTTGAGAAACCTTCCAGATTTCCACTTCATGCCTCCATCTGTGAATATTTTCCTAAAGGGAAGCTGCATTCTTCTACTGACTATTATCTTTATCCTGTTGCTTTTTGCTTCCTGTTTACAGTTCCTGGAAGCTGAAATTTGAGTTCCATTTCTACTATTCTTTAATTTTTAATGTTCTGTTGTTCCGCAATGTACATACAGTTGATTCAGATTAGGGCTGTGTCACCAATTATTTTTAGTAAGGTGGGTTTTTTCCTTCTAACTTCTACTGCTGAGGGAATGAGAACATCCATTTATCAGAAAACATGTTCTAAATGTTTTTGGTTTAATATCTGTAATGATTTTATCTTTGGGAGAACTGAAACTTTTCTGTTATTATTAAAAATGTGAAAACACCCCTTTTTTAAAAAGGGAAAACAATTTGCATGTAAAAACATTCTTGTGTTCAGAAGAAGCCATCAACTGATAAAAACATAAGAACTGTGAAAATCTTTCCATCCTGAATTTGTCCTTAAACATACCCAACATGTGTTAGTTGATGTGAACACATTTTACACATCACATCAACGTGAGCACTTTACAGCCAACCTTGGACCTTCAAAAGGTGATGTCTGCGTAGAAACACCATCATAGACACCCTCAGTCATCCATGGTGAAAGACAAATGTTCTGAGGGGTGGCATCTGACAGATATTTGCAGTGTATCTCCTGTGGTGAGGGATACAGAGGCATAGGGTAGATCTTTCAGGGTACCACAGAGGGAAGGCACAAGGTGCTGGAGAATACAGGCACGATCAGTGCTGGTCAAGGACATCCTCATTTCTGAATGTGCCTTTATGGCAGAATTCATTTATCCTCATTTTTACTCCTTTCATGCACCTTCAAAACTCGCATAGCAACAAAGGGCCCTTTTATCCCTCTTCACACCCAGCTCAGGCAGCTGGGGATGCTCTGAGTACACCTCAAACAGTGTGACATATCCCTGCATCAAGGAATTGAGCCAAGGACAGAGCTGAGGCCAGGCTGTTGCATGGGCTCTTGGACAGTCTACGTGGCCTCTGCCATGTCATATTTAATCCTCAATATGTCACCCACTTTGTTTTTTCCCTAAGAGAACAGATGTCATCTGAGACTAGAATTAAAATGCTAATGTTATCTAAGATGTCAGAATTACCCCAAACTTTAAAGTGCAGGTATTATAACTTTGCTTTTTCTACTCAGGTTGGTAAAGTGCCACTATACCTCCCCTGGCATTGAACTGGACAGGAATTTGGAAGGTTTAGAAAACAAGGCAGAAAACTTTATGGCATCCAAAGACAAAATGTACCTTTGACAAGCAGATGAGCTGAGGAAAGAAGTGAAGCAGTCATGGCAGGGAGAGGTGATTATTCACTATATCAAGATAAACTTAGCAAAATTCAGGTTAAATATATTCTGAGAACAGTTCCTCTGAGCTCAGCCTGATGACACTGTTCAGCGAGGTGGCTCCTCCACCGACTCTCTGCAGTAGCTGTCTCCTACCTTCAATCTTTGTTTTACTCTTCAGAGGGTCTCCATAGCACAACAAAAACCTTGGAATTCTTATGTTATTCTTTATAGGGTACCGGATGAAACAAAAATGCTGCTATTTGCAGAAAGAAAAAGCTCTGGGTGCAACATGTGGTGACCAGATAAAAACATAATGGGTTTGATACATGCCCTGAGGAGAACATTAGGCAGGAAAATCTATAAGAATATAGATCTCTCGTAGCTGAGACTGCTCTGGGTATGGTTTGGATGCTAATGAGGAGGGGAAGATGAAGAAAAATCAGGAGCAAAAATAAATCAGATCTGATATGAAGATGGACTTATATCTATGTTCATGTTTAACACTCATTGCTCCACACATTAGGCAATAGGCTCTGGGGCTGGCGTGCTCAAAAACAGACCAAAGAGGGGAATTATTGATGCCAAGATGCCAAATAACCTTATGGCTGGTGGGCAACTGCTGTAGCAGGTGAATCTGTAGCACTGTTGATTTCACAGCTTTGAAATGAGACGTGAAGTAGCAGATTGAACTAACCAGCAAAAGGGAGCAGGTGCACCAACAAGCACCAATAGGCTGTGCATGTGAGGCTGGAAACCTCATCCTTTCAAAGACGATGAAGAAAAGAGAAATGGAAGGGGTACAAATCAACCCAAACAGAAAAAATGGCAATTGAACCCAATGACCAGGACACAACCCAACCCGGATCTTGTCCATGCACAAGGAGAGAACATACAGGGTTCTGGCAGAACTTAGGTAAGGTTGAGGGGAAGAGTAAGAACAGAGGAGTGAAGGAATGCATAGAATTATAGAATCACAGACTGGTATAGGCTTAAAGGGACCTTAAAGCTCACCTAGTTCCAAACTCCTTCCATGGGCAGGGACACTTGACGCTAGACCAGGTTTCTGGACCATGACCAAAGCTCCCCCAGCACCCCAGTCTCAGACCTTCCCCAGGCAAAGAGCTCCCCAAAGCACCACAACACTCGGCTGCTCAGCCAAAGGAGACACAGTTTATTTGCTGGGGCCAGGGCCATGAGGCTCATTGCAACGGGGAACACAGCTCAGGCCTCCCCCTCCCCAGCAGTGCCCCGGACACTGCTCTCCATCCAGATGCCCTCGGGCGCGGGGCTCTGCTCCTTGCTCCTCTCTTCCTCTTCAAACACTCGGCGCAGGGCGACTTTGATGGAGCCTCGGAACCGGCACTGCCGGCAGCTCCCCACCAGGAAATAAATGAGGGGATTCACGCTGCTGTTCAGCAGAGCCAGCACAAGAGTGGTGTTTTCAGGATATAAATGATCCCATTGAGAAGGCTGAAGGAACACATTTACAGTGAAAGGCATCCCAAAGGCAAAGAAGAAGATGACATTGAGCACGACAGCAACATAGAGTTTCCCCAGGTGCCGTCTCTGTGAGCCACATCGGAGCCTCATGACCATGGACACGTTGGAAATCAACATCATTAATGACAAAATCATGGAGTAGACAATGGCCAAACTCACAAATACAGTAATATGAATTTGTTCTAATTCAAAGCAAAGATAATATGATAAAATGAAAGCCCCGACACCGGCCCAGAGCACCCCACTCACGATGCCTGATAAGTGCTTTGGGCGGTGGCAGCGGTACCAGATTGGGAAGAC